TTGATTTACATAGTAATAACATGATAAAGAAAAGTAAAATTAATAAGTATGGTAATAGCATTTTCTCGCGATAATATCGCTTGCCTCGAGGACACAAAGTCGTAAAAGCAAAATCTATGTTTTTCAGGAAAAATAAAAGAAGTTAATGATTGTATTACTAGAATACTAGGAACATTACATAAACAAATATCTAATAAAAGCTAATTTTTTTTATTCGACAACATTGTTGTTATATATTTAGTGTAAATAGTACAAAAATAACTAAATTACATTACAGTAATTTATCTAATAAGACTGTTTCACTCTTAAAAAATAATTACGATTGACGCAGTAACCGCACATTACGACGGCGCATTTTGACGAATGTCTAGAACGTAATTTATTACCATTTTCGCGGAAATATTATATTATGACGTTGGTGAAACAAACTTTATTTGTTTTTAAATTATCGCATTAACGTTTATGATTATTTGGCTTTACAGTCTAAACTAAGACTATCTTTATGGTTGCTGCGATCTATTTTAAGGAAAATAAAATTACGTAAATGGAATACAGACTCGTGTTTTTTTTATAAATACATCTAACAGTTATAGAATAAGGAAGAAAAAATGAGAAAACATTAAAAGAAAATATAGTAAAATAATAAATACATAAGGTACACAATATCGATACTGTGAACTCAGCGAACATATTAAGATGTCGTGTCGGAGACAGCATTCAGTAGTCTTTGTTAACGGCGATCTGAGCAACAAATTCGTTCTAGCCCTTGGCCAAACAAGCCTTCAAATCAATCAATTAATCAAAATACGTTTATTCAGTTTAGATGCGACTTAGGGCATGCTTATGAATGTCAAAAACGTTTACAAAGTTCGCGAAAGAGCAAGACTACACCATCCGTTCCCAAAAATACCAGAAGGCCTTGTTCTGAGAAGAATGGGCAACAAACTCAGCAAGATTTACCCTCCCTCTACATTACAATTATTCAAAGGAAAATCTCATAAACCACAACGTCATTAAAGTTACAAGTTACATCGCCGTCGCACATATCCCTGTAGCATACACATGTATAACACATAATATGTTTATTTCTTTATATTCTATTAAGTGAATATTGTAACCAAACAATGGAATTAAATTAATTCACTTTAAAATGGTGGTTAAATCAATTACCCCATACCCCGATAAACGTTTTGGCGATTCCGGTCTGGATTCTTGAACATTCGTTTGAACAGTATTACCCCGTATTACTGAAGTGAATAAACTATTCGTGTACAGTGTAAAAAAGTGATAAGTGAACAGTATAATATAATATCACATGTTCAACGACTATTTGGACTTCAGTACAAAACAACTTGACCTTGAGAAATTTTAAAGGTGAACGCCATGTCGATCAACAGAGACACCACTAGTGCTGTGCCATCGAATGTCGATGTTTTTTAAAGTTGGTGTACGTGTTCCCCCGTTTTGGCCAGAGGAACCCGAAATTTGGTTTGCCCAAATTGAGGGTCAATTTTCAATATCCGGAATAACTAATGATTCGACTAAATTCAATTATGTCATCGGTCACTTAGACAATGAGTATTCTCGTGAAGTAAAAGACATAATTATCAACCCACCAATTTCCGACCGCTACGAGAAGCTTAAAACTGAGTTAATAAAGCGACTCAGCGCATCCCGGGAGAAGAAAATAAAGCAGTTATTGATGCATGAGGAGTTGGGTGAGAGAAAACCCTCACAATTTCTTCGTCATTTACGAAGTTTGGCGGGCGCTGGCGTACCTGAAGATTTCTTAAAAACTATTTGGATGAGCCGTCTTCCACATGGTGTACAAACGGTGCTCGCAGGCCAACCGGTGTCAGCACCGCTAGACGATTTAGCTGACTTAGCTGATAGAGTGGTTGACCTTGCGTCTACAGCACCGAGTGTTTCTGCGGTTCAACAAGGCGTTACATTAGTCAATGAGTTGACTAAGGAAATAGCAGAGCTTCGTCAGCAAGTCAAGAATCTGTCCTTACGCAGCAGAAGAGTTCAATTTCGGTCTTCAAAAAAAAGTCGGCAGAAATCAAGAGAGCGATCTTCATCGAGTTACCGGAAGTTTCCTGTGTGCTGGTATCATAGCAAGTTCGCAGAAGGAGCTCACAAATGTGTGCGACCGTGTGACTTCAAGTCGGGAAACTCTCAGGGCAGTCGATAATGGCGACTGGCGATTGCCCCACTTTCTCACCTGGTCGTCTTTTTGTCATGGATCGGAAGTCGAAAATGCAGTTTTTAGTTGATACTGGCAGCGACCTCTGCGATTTCCCTCGATCGAAATTACACGATCGTCGAGCTAAGACTGATTATAGTTTGTGTGCTGCAAACGGTTCTAGTATAGCTACTTATGGTTTTGTAAATTTAGGGTTAAGACGTGTTTTTCCATGGCGTTTTGTAGTAGCCGATGTAACTAGACCTTGGTGTTGATTTTTTAAACTTTTATAATCTAATTGTAGATTGTAGGAATAAACGTCTTATTGACAATTTAACGTCAATTTCAGCTGTGGTTAAAACTATTAGATGTAAAGATGTTTTATCTGTTAAATTAGTAGTTACTGGTAAATCTGGTTGACGCACATATGTTTATTTCTTTATATTCTATTAAGTGAATATTGTAACCAAACAATGAAATTAAATTAATTCACTTTAAAATGGTGGTTAAATCAATTACCCCATATCCCCTAGGAACAAAGAACATGGATTCTTGGAGACAATTTGGGTTACCACCCCAAGACTTGAAGAAGATAGGAGGCTGTAGGTCCCGTCTTGTCTCTAGTTTATTGTACCCGATGCCTAAGACAAAAAAAAAATGTCTTAGATAGTGTTTTTTAAATAGAACAGAGGGCAAACGGACAGGACGCTCACTTGATGTTAAATGATACATAGACTCTCTTTTTGCCAGAAAGCTCGCGAGTGCGTTGCTGGCCTTTTCAGAATTGGTACGCTCTCTTCTTGAAGGACCCTAAGTGGAATTGGTTAGGAAATACCTGTCGCCTATGGACACTCAATGCCAGAGGGCTCGCGAGTGCGTTGCCGGCCTTTTAAGAATTGTTACGCTCTCTTGAAGGACCCTAAGTCGAATTGGTTCGGAAATACTTCAGTAGGCAGCTGGTTCCACATAGTGGTGGTGCGCGGCAAAACTTAACTAATAAAGAAAACGTATTCTGAATGTCAAGGCTATTCAACTTTTGACACCACGGCCCTGATGAGAAGACTGAAACGGACAAACCCTTTGAACTAGTGCTTAAGAGTGGCAAGGGAAAAAAAAGAACAGAGTGTCCCTTTAATAGAGACTGTAAGCGTTATTGGACACAGAGTATTTTAATTATATATAAAAAATAAAAAAAAATTTTAACATTTCACCAGTATGATTATTAGATAAATTCTATACCAATCGAAAGTATGAAGCCCATAGAATATGCAAACGTTAGGTTGTTTTTAATCAATTAATTATTTATGTGTATATTTTTTATGTGACACTAAAGTATATATACATCTTTAGTAAAAAAGAAAGTTATAGTGATACATATATAATACTACCCTGATTAAAAATACGGATTGAAAAAAATTAAAAAAATTAACTACATGCAAATTTTAAAAAAATATTTTTTTTTTTAATATTTATTAAACATACTCTGGACTGAAATTTGCTAGGCAACCCTTATGGATTATATTTATTGACATATTAAATTAAAAACAAAATACGTTTCATTAAATAAGCATCTCGGTGAAGGTCGTTGTATATCGGGATCTTATACTATTATTAATCGTAATGTTCCATGATGTCTAGTAAAGACACACGTATAAAATGAAAAGTGCGTACAAAGTACACATGTCATGAGTGAAACTTCTTTGTAAATAAATTATTCAGTAATTCCCATATCCAATAATTTAATTTTGCCAGTCTTTCTATTATGAATGAATGATACTTAGGCTAGTTAAAAACCAGAACTAAAATTAGTTGTTGTTATGTATATAGAAATACCACCATAAATATGGTAACAATTACCAAATAATATAACAAATTCATTATTATCATAATTGCTAACTTATGTCCAAATTTTCTAAAATAGCCAACTGGGTGTTAGCAAAAAGGTCTTGGTTCTGTGCCTAAAAATACAAACCAACAAAAAAAACGGTAATTTATTACTTAATAAAATAATAATGATATGTATAAAAACAACCATCGCTGTTCAAGTCTCAATCGCTCTCTCCCTTTTCTTCGACAAAAACGCTGCACATCTTCGTGACGTTCCGTAAAAATTTTACCCTCATGCGCCTAAGTTTAACTTCAAAAAACAAAGGTCAGGACTTTACTATTTCCAACATACAAAATATACAGAATTTACAATATCTTATATAGTAATAATCATAATTAACACAAAAAATTAAAACAAATTTAAAAATGGTACCATACCATTCGTTGAAAGCACCAGCTCTGGGGCACCTACCAGGCGCTCCACGGCCCAAGTCTCTACTCCAAAGGGAATTAAATCTAAGTTGAAGAAAAGATATTTGACCCCGATTATTTTCCGCCTGAAAATCTAAAAATATTCTCGTTCCACAAGTTCATCAAATAAATCGTTATAACAGAAATAAATTTACCGTAACCAGTCGTAAAGGTCATATAAAATCCAAGTAATAAAGTTCATAGTTGAACAGCAGCAGTGTTGGCCTAGTGGCTTCAGCGTGCGACTCTCATCGCTGAGGTCGTAGGTTTGATGCCCGGCTGTGCACCAATTAACTTTTAATGCGCATTTAACACTCGCTCGTACGAAGGAAAACATCGTGAGTAATCGTGCTTAGACCCAACACGACGGCGTGTGTCAGGCACAGATCACCTACTTGCCTGTTAGATTGACAAAAGATACCTGAGGCCCAAACCTAAAAAGGTTGTAGCGCCACTGGTTTTCAAGAAAGATGGATTCTTAAATGTACTTCGAGACTAATATTTCACATATTTCAGCATGGCGCCGATTAAGTTCGGTCTTTTCAAAGCCAGGAGTAGAGACCAGCAGGAGCAACCGTCTACTGAAAATCTTCTACAGTCAAGCCATAGCATCGATCAAGGTAATTGTTATTTATTTATTGAAGTTTACTACATCACACATAATACTATATCTACAGTATGTTACAAGCTGTCTTTTCTATAATATATAACAATTTCAAATTCTAAAATATATACAATTCTAGAATACGTTGCAATTTTGCAACGTCTCTCACTGGTGGAAAAATCGAACAATGTTATTCGCAAATTAGGAAAAAACTAGGATACACGTAATGTGAGGGGGGGGCTCCAAAACTATTAAACCCATTTTGATTAAAATGTTGAAGTTGGAACATTATATACGATCTTTAAGTTTCCGGTAAATTTCTAAACAAATTATAGTTAAATTATAGTTTTGCTATAATATTTTCCAGCCGGCACCCCTGACTCACCAATACCATCAACCAGCAAGGGTCTAGTGGAGGATTTGTCACCTCTGGACTTTGCTGAATTGAACCTGAATGATACTGATGATGATGTAAGTATCTGTGATCTGTACCTGTACCCGTAGAAAGCCCCGACACGTTTTAACGGATCTGAATGATCCAATCACTATAGCTGATAACAAATTAAATGCCCGCGCGGCAAAGCTAAATCAATATCACATTGAGGGAAAAAACCCGTCTTCACCGGGCGCATTCCCCGGTCTCTTACTTCGTACGTTCTTCTCTCCAGACAGCTTCTGCCTGCCCTTCAGGCGATTGATCACCCCATGATGGCCCAAGCCATATTCCGAGTCCGAGAAGTCGCCCTAGTCGTGGGCACCTGTTTCCGGCAGAGCTACGCCACCAAAACAGCCCGAGCTGTCAAGGCCAGAAGGCCATCAGAGAGATTCCAAAGGCCTGGAAGAGGACCTGACAGTTCCTAACGGATCAAGATAATCCCAGCAATGTAGCTAAAAACTGCCTTCACCATCCTCACTTGGAAGTACTTCGGTCACTGCAGTGAGCTTCTGCCCTTCTGGCAAGTGATCCACGACGGCCCAAGTCGACTTCCGACTCTAGTTCTGGGAAAAACCCTTAGCCACCTGAACAAAACTGCTAGAGCTGTGCTGTCATGGACCTTCAGGCCAACAGGCCCTTTCCCAAAAAAAGGGGCCCATTTAAATCGTAACTCTTTGCCGATCATATCAGAAGTAAGTATATCAAAACGGAGCAGTCTTAGCAATCGTTACAGTGGCGCTAGAACCCCCTCAAATCTCTCAGGAACAGCCTTCAGGCCCACGCGTCTAGTTACGCACGATTATCGTATTTATTTATAAAAAACACAATACTGTAGTAACAAGTGACCTTAAATCGACAAGAATGCACAACCAATGAAAAAACAAACAAAACAAAAACAATTCATTTGTTCCATTTCGAGTAGAGACTTGGGCCGAGGGGTTCATTAAACGTCTACCACAGGGACCATTTTTAGATTTGTTTTAATTTCTATTTATTACTTTAAAACAGATTACATTCGTTAACAAAATATATGAATAAGAAAAAAACCTAAAATGAAACGTTAAATAAAAGACAAATTAATATTTAAGGAAAAAACTAAATTGTTACTACACTACAGTAATTAATTTGACTTTACACACTAGGACCTTCGTTAGTGGAAGTGTTTCCCTACTTCCATACCATACGCAGTTTTAATATAGAAATATTTATTAACTGTCAATTTCCTAATTTTCAGAACCCCTCTCTAACATCAACATCTACCCTCAACGAAAACCACATATGTGAACCATCTACACACAGAGTCGCCTCCACGTCCTACGACGCACACTCCTCACAATTAGACATAAACTCGTCACAGTTTGACATTAACTCCTCACAATTTGACATTGACTCCTCACAATATGACATAAACTTCGACGCGTCATCGATCACGCCTAGCGAGGATTTGTCTGTCTACTGTGCGATGATGAAGAAGCCAAAGAAAAGTAGGTCTAAGGAACAGCATTTGAGGGATATTGGTATGTGGCAAGCGACTAATATCGAGGTGATGCAGGTGAGTCCATTTTCCCAAATTCCTGCAAGAAAATCTTTTGTTAAGGTATTTATTTCGTAGGTATAATTATGCTTGCTCATTCTTCTCCATATGAAACTACCTTTTGGAAGGGGCAACTAAAGTCATTTTTACTGCTACCGCTTCTATTTCTTTTATCCACCTTTTTTGGGGCGCCCTCTTCTCCTTCTTTCCTTGGTCCTTTCTTGTTGTCTTTAAAGTCCGCATTTTATGTGTATCTTGCTATATTCCCCCCATTGCCACTTCTGTTTTAGGGCATAATGTAAGGCATCTTATCACTTTTGTTTTTTGTCTTATTTTTTCGCTTTTTACATTATGTATTCCTCTTATTTTTAGGACGCTTCTTTCTATTGATGTTTGATAAATACGTCCATTAATTGTTATAGTATGCATTGTGTAAATTGAGCCCATTTTTCAGAATCTCCTATACCGTAGCGGAACACTGGACGAACAAATAAAATGGGAGGCAATCGCCACCGCGCGTGGTTTGTGCACGCTAACAGACAATTGTACATGCGCCGACTGCTCTGGGGCAAAATACATGGCCGGGATCATCGACGATGACGGGGGCGACATGGCGACGGCACCGCTTCTCAGCGCCCTCAACTTGGGATGTCAAATACAATAAGTTCACGACCTTTTCTGACCATAGACTGTTATATTTCTGTAATTTATTTATCAGTACCCACTGCACTGGTCTTCTTTCATTAGAAGTATGAACCATTCGGATTTAGATTTCGCGGCATGGGGTCAAAAGTCAAACGTTTAAGACTGTATGTAACACCTTTAAAACAAATCTTTTAGCTGTCGTTCGTATTCTGGGGACGTAACTCTTTAAGTCCTATAAAAAAATCCTCTAAAATTCCTATTTATGTAGGCCTTATGGCTTCAGCGTGCGACTCTCATCCCTGAGGTCGTAGAACCCCGGCTGTGCTTCAATGGACTTTTAACGCGCATTTAACATTTGTTTGAACGGTGAACATCGTGAGGAATCCGGCTTTCCTTAGACACATGTGTGACAGGAGTCACCTACTTGCCTATTAGATTGACAATAATTGCAACAAATACAGAAATCCTAGACCTAAAAAGGTTTTAGCGCCTTTTTTTTTCATATGTTTTGACGTCCATTAATTCATCACTTAAATTTATAGTCTTTGAATTTTGACTCCATAGCGCATTTCCTTGTCCCAATGTCACTTTGTATAAATTTTACACTTTTCTATAACTTGTAATAGTGTGTAAGATAGAAATTAAATCCATAATATTTGTGAACGGAATTACGAAGGACCATTTGGTCGTGTGCGTGAATTATTGTGTTTAAAATACGTGTATATCTATGAATACTTCATTCCTTGGTACTCGTGGCACTCGGCAAAGATTTTTTCTAAAGCATTTTTCGAATCTTGGGCACCAGCTTAATACTTTTCTGTTCCTCTCATGCCCCGCCCATTTCCACTTTGCATCACAGCGTAAACAATTTGACAGAACCAGGCAATGCTTGGTAGTTTCATCGCAAATGTCAATGACACTGTCAGAATTCCGTTCACAAATACATATTTTGTAATTGAATTTCATTGAAAGTTCCAGACAATGTAAAGAAATATCAGTTTAACAGCACTGTTTCGAAGCCGTCTCTTCTCATAGTGAGACATAATTTTTCTGAAGAAAGAGACGAAATATTGTTTTGGTCAGAGTGCAATCAGGCTGATTTTATATGCTTTTATAACTGTCAGATACATTCTGTCAGATATCAAATGTCTAACAGATGTCCGAATTGATTTATGAATATGTGTTCTTAAACTGTCTGGGACTTTATTAGCAACCTTGTATCGTCGTCTATAATGTATATTGTATATCCTTGTCGTCTTAATAAGGGGCACGCTAAAGAGGTTAAATCAACGTAACATATAGAATAAACTAAAAACTATTATATATATATCGGATCCAAAAAGGTGTTTCTAAGAGCGATGTTTAAGTACATATAGCTACCGTGTTTTTTCACTCCAGTAGAATATAATCTATAGGCCAATACCAGCTATTATTTTTGTGTTAAAAAAAATTGTAATTCATATACGTGGAATAATACAAAATATTTAAAAGTATAGACTATTACTTTTAATAAAAAGAAAGAAAATACTTACACGCTCGCGGCCCATCCCGGCTTCCCGGCTTGGACATTTATTTCAAACACTTTTTGTAGATATTGATATTATGTTCTTTAATATTGTAGAACATTCTTTTGTTGTTTTGTTGATGAAAGATATTTTATAGGCATTTTTTTACACCTTGGGTAACATTATTGTAGTTATAGTAGGATCCTTATTTTTTCTTGCAATTAAAATAGCCTATATTAATTAGTGATAATGTAGCAATCAAATGGTGAAAGAGTTTTTAAAATCGGTCCAGTACTTTTTGAGCCAATTCGTTACAAACATACTTACATACAAATCTTTCCTCTTTATAATATTAGTAAAGATAATAAAAAGGATGTTTTAAAAGAGAAACTGCCACTAGGATTCCCTGTAGTGGGCTAGTCTCTTCCATTCAAACTATAATAATTTCTACTAAACTCTTTTGTAATTGAGCTACTGTTGCACCAGAAAAATACTTTCCGTTGCAGCATCTCAGGTTGAGATGTTGTTTAAAATTGTTGTGTTAATTTTTTAAAGTGGTTAAACATGAAAGTAAAATACCACTATGAAAAAGAAAATATGTACATGAATTACATGTCACAATTGAGCAGGATATGGTGAAGTTTGTTTTTTTTTATGTAAGCAGAGGCAAACGGCAGAAGGCCGATCTGATGTTAAGTGATACCGCCGTCCATGGACTCACATTGTCAGAAGGGTCGCATGTGCGTTTCAGGCCTTTTAGACTTTTCTTAATTTAAACCTCTTTAGCGGGTCTCTATTATTAGTGTAATTACGATGGCCTCGTGGAAAGACTGTTATTTTATAGAAAATGGAATCTCTGGAGATAGGCTACGAAAAAAAATTGATTGATTGAGGTGTTACTATAACTCTTGTATGTCAAAATCCATTACATATTTGTATTCAGACACCAGCCAATCTGGTGTCACTAGACAATTATAAGAAACACTTTGATACGCAAAATCTATGTTTCTCCCAGCAATTTTTGCAGCTATTGGGTTAATTGAGGCATTACTATGACGCACGTGTGTCAAAATCCATCACATATTCAGAGACGCAAGTTAGGGCATAGCGAGTGATGGCAATTGAGGGAGGGAGACCAGCGAATCTGGCGTCATATTGTTGGTACAAGAACATTGAACTTGATATTTTCTCCATACAGAAACTGATCCAGCAGTGTAATATCTTTAAATATTTTGCTGTACCCTGACCCTGTACCCTTGTGGGCACTAAAATATACTGCCTTAAAAAGTCATTTCAATCTCCTTCCTGCGACCTCGAACGAGTTTCGAGGTCTTTGACAACTCCATCCCATCAATGGAGGCTCAGACCGGGTCTAAATATGGGAGTGGATACTAAATATCTAATATAATTATAGCAATGTACCATTGGTTTAATAATTAAAACATAATTTCACAGACTATAGTAAAATTGGTGAACTGACGTAACATGTATTTATGTGTTAGCTGTGTATTTGTGTAGATAATAAAGAAATAGTGTGTGGTGTCATTGTTTTATTGAAAATAATAAATAGGTTGCATCTTCTACCGTCTTTACCGTGGAGAGTGTTTAGAGGAATTGTTCGGATTAATTCCTGCTGCTGAGTTTCATCTTCGGACGTCGATAATACGAAAATCTACCCTTTAGAGTCCCTTGCGAGCCCTCTGGCATTGAGTTTCCATGGGCGGCGGTACCAAGTAACATCAGATAAGTCTCCTGCCAATTTGCCCCTAGTTCTATATAAAAAAAAAATATGAAAAATATTGTTGAAGGGCCTTGACAGATCAGCTCCGTTTTGGATAGCGTAGCTCTGCCTAAATTGGATTTTTCAAAAGCCGTGTAGGTATTAGTTGGTCAACGTACAAGTTAATTCTGACTCTTAATGAATTTTACACATGAAAATTGTTGATTATCAAAGAGATTGATTACTTAACTTGAATAAGTATCAAATTTTCGCGGTAAGAGATAGTAAAATTAACAAAATAGCAAGAGTTTCTTCCGTACACTGTATCTCTTTCAAAAGATCTCTTAATAATTATTATTATTTCCTTACGCATACATGTCGCCACTAATTAATATTTAATTATTAATAAATATTTAAAAATATTTAATTATTAATAAATAACACATTGCTCTTTATTAATGTAACATTATAGAATAACTTTCCTTTGTACACATTTAATTGCCCCTAAACCAATCATAATGATTTTAATTCAGTAATAAAAAAAAATTATTTATTTATAAACCATCTTGATTTTTTAAAACGAATAGAAAATAACAACAAGACAGTCGCTATAATACACAATATTTATTGCTAAATTTAGCAAATTGACAGCTTCAAACACTCATGAATAAGTATTTTTCAGATTTGGCGCCATTTTGATCTGTCAGTTTATCAGATGAATTGAAAACGAAATAATGTGTTCATTCCTATAACAGAAACCAAATAATGCTGAGTTTATGGAAATTATTAAAAAAAATTGAATACTTAATAATTATAAACTAATATTGAATATAGAAAAATACTAAATAGTTATTATAGTGAGACATTTAAAAGTAAGTAAAATTATTAAAATATAATTTCTACTGTTCGTAGTTAGCTTAAGGTGGTCTGTGATCTGTCGTTCATATATTTTTGTTTCCCGCCAAAACGCCCAGTTAATGCCTACATTCTTACACAGGTGGCGCTATTCCAAATGAAAAATTGTAGTTTAGATTTCACATGCCTAGATCGGTCACGGTCTCAACACCTCAGTGGTAGCTGATTTCACCTTCTTTTTGAAAAAAATATTGAAGAAAACAATAAATAAGTATCTGTCCCCGCAAACTGCGTTTCGAAATATAATTATCTTTACTTAGCCTACCTTTAGTAGCTACATACTAAATATAATATGCAACATTTTTAAGTTTTTTAGGGTTTTCCAACTTTTCTGATAATTAGCTAAAATTCTGATATATTATAGCTAAAATTAATTTATGATTTTATGAAATACAATTTATATACATGTACATATAAGCATTAAGATTTCAAATAGAATATATTTAACAGGGCCGCGCCGACCCCCGGCAGCGCCTGTGTGCGAAACCCATGAAGCGCCTCCTTTTTCTATAGGGGTCAAACGAGCCTTAGGGACGGAAAAAAATGGCAGTCATTGAATCTCATAGACATTTTTAGCGGGTGTGTTGCAGGCCTTTGAGGGAACTCCTTCTATATTTCGGCCTATTTTTTAAGAATCTTCAAGTTTCAATGTATTTTTTAATTTTGACTGAAAGAAAATTTTTCTTTAGTTTAATCCACTTAAATAGGTAAAACGTCCGCTGGCCAATTGCCGTGAAAAATAAAACGTGAATTAAATTGTTACATAGTTTATTTATGATGTTATTTTTATCTAACCGTTTTTAAGGTCAGATTTATGACATATCTTTGTAATAAATCCCATCTTTTAGTAGAGGACGAAAAATATTTATATAGTTCTTG